TTTTTTTGTTGTTGTTTCAGACACTTCTTAAGCAAAATTAAGGACCAATAGTGATAGACTGGCATATCAGAATAAATGTGCTGGATTATCAGTCCTTCTTTTTTCCCCCACCCCCCTCTGTTTTTCTACTGTTATAAAGGTATTTGGTAGCACTAGGTTGTACGAAGCCTCTTTGTGACCTCCTGACTGTGATGGATTCAAAAATAGTACAGGTGGCTTTAAACGGACTTGAAAATATTCTGCGTCTTGGAGAACAAGAGTCTAAGCAAAATGGAATGGGCATTAATCCTTATTGTGCCCTTATAGAGGAAGCATATGGTAAGAAATTACTTCTTGTAAAACTACATACCTGAAGTTCTTATTTCAGGATGTAAAAACAAAACCATTGTGAACCATTTTGGAATTTGTAGGTAAGCTTAATATCAGAATTACTTCAAGCATAAGTGGACATTAAAGTACATAAATTAAGTAATGTGACTTGAGAAGAGTGGTTAAATGCAGAAAATCCATGGATGTTTTTCTGTGGTCAGTTTATAAAATGTCTCTCTAGAAAAACATTTTCAGAAATATTTAACACACAGGTGTCCTGGTCTATTGGAGCCATGGTCTGCATTAATTTATCAGCCAATCCTATAAATATAGTTTTACTACTTTAATATATAGTCCTGTCTGGTACAGTTTCATTACCAACAGGGATGGAAGTTCAGAGTTTTAGTTACTCCCAAAGTCTGATCACTTTTTAGCATAGTAACTATCAGTAATAGCAAAATCAACTTCAGATCATAAAATTAAATAAGCTTGTACTTAATTTGTTAAAGTATATTCTGTTTCTTTTAAGAGTTGTTGAATTAAATCACATTTTAAAGGCAGAGTAGCAAAACTAAAATTGCTATTTGTGGAATTTCATGACTAGACACTTTTGACTTAACAAATGTTGAAACTGGCTTATAATGAATCTGGCATTATTTATGGAGGATTATGTTTCTGTAGCTCTGACAAAACAAAAATTGGCATTTGTGTTTCAGAAACTGCTAATAACAATTATACTTGACAGCTTTATAGCTGATTAAATAGTAGTAACTTCTCTGTAAAACAGCCTTTAAATCCGAATTCACTGTTACAGACTTTCATTTCTAAAATCAAGTGCATACTTGGAGAACTTACTTCTCAATCTAACATGTAAAAGGAATAAGTACTGAATACTTTAATGGAATTTATTCTGTTCCAGATCATGAGTCTGTTCATAATTCCAGCTATTGAATGTCTAGGTTCTTCTTTTCCTTTACCAGTTAAGTTAGAGTGCTGAAGCTATAGCCTATAAATTCAAGTGGGGGAAATAGCTAATTATATCACTCCCATTGCTTTGGCCTCTGTAGTCACCACAGGGGTTTGTATGAGCTCTTCCTAATCCAACTTAAGTTAAAACTGAATTATCTTGAATAGCTAAAAAGGAGTTTTGAATCAACCTGACTGCCAAGCACCTAATTCTGCCAGCAGAGCAGAGGTTATGTTCTCTAGCTTGCAAATGATAAGCCTTATCCTTAAATTAAATTTGCAAGAAAATACCAGACTTTGCAGAATTTTAGAGTTGGGAAGACTGAAAGAGGAAAAAAAAAAAAAAAGGAGATATTGGAGATTGCTATAGCAAACAGTTTTATGTATGGTCATTCTAGACAGATTCAGATTCAGTTTCTTTGTGGGCATGGCATATTTCTTTGTAGATACTAAAGCTGCCTCCTCCTCTGTAGTTTAATTGATATCCTTTCAGCATAGTTATAAAATTAGTTTAGACAGAAGAAAATGCTGCAGAAAATGAAGACCAGAAATACATAGGATAGGAAATTAAGAATCAATGATATCAAATAAATTGATACACTTGGGATTGAATTTTTTTATCTAAGAAGTACCAATATACTCTATACTGTAAGCTGTTTCCCTGTGAATTTATCATTCATTTAAGCAACTAGATTTTGAAAATGTTCTGTTTTGAATTTAGGACTTGATAAAATTGAGTTTCTTCAGAGGCATGAAAACCAAGAGATCTACCAAAAGGCTTTTGAACTCATAGAACATTACTTTGGTGTCGAGGAAGAGGACTCCAGTATTGCACCTCAGGTGGATGAAAGTCAGCAGCAGTTTGTGTTTCAACAGCAGGAGGCTCCAATGGAGGGGTTTCAGCTGTAAACTACTGAAGACAAGTATAAAATGTAAACACTTGTAGGAGTTTGGATTGGTTTTTTTCCCCACAGGTCTTTTTTCTTTATGGCCAAAGTTAGAGGAAAAGTTGAATATGTTTTGCAGAATTAGATGAAGAAGCAGCTCATGCACTTTTATATATTGTGTTAAGATAACAACTGTTCTTTGTTTTGTGTTTGTGTTTTTCATTATCTCTTATGTACAGAAAACAACTGTGAGTAATTGTGTCTATAAATTAAAGCATTAAATGTGATTTAACAAGAACTGTTAAGCTACGACTTGGTAGGATTTTAGGTAGTGGTTCTGAATTTTTTCATGTAGTCTCAAACTGCATATCAGCAATACAGTTACTGACAGTTGCATTTTTGGCAGTAGGCTTGACTTGCCCAGTCTATCAAATCTACCTCTTGTATTGAAGCAAAAACATTGCTTCAGAACTAAGGCATGAAATAAAGATGAGCTTGTAAGAAGCTGAATTGGAATGTGAAAAATATTTATTTAAATTGTGAAACTTTTATGCATTACTCACTTTACAACACACTGTTGGAATTTATTTGTAAAATGTATTTAAAGACATAATAGTTATACATATATAATGCTAATTACCTAATACTGAATATATGAAAAAGCTTTTTAGTAATTATGTGGGAAGAGGACTATTTCAGAGGTTTTCAAATTGGAATCAGCAGAGAGCTTGCTGGTCATTTGATGTTGGCTCTATAATTAAAGCTGCTAAATGGCATTAAAGGTCAGCCACAAATACAGTACTTTGCAGTGGAAGCAGTTGCTGTAGTTACCACAAGAATGCTGCAATTATGAATGACAGAGATGGTGATTTGCACAGATTACCAAGCAGATGGTCTACAGCTGCCTCCTGTCAAAATGTGGTAACACCAGTTTAGTTTGAGAAACATTGCAGTGTTTGCCTTTTTAGTACAGTAGCTTCTTAAAAGTTTTAGACAGTAGGTGTTATTCTTTTTGACCAAATACGCTGCCACCACTCAACTTGTTCTTTAAGTTAACTAATTCAGTCTTTTGGTAAAAGAATAGAAATACTGCAGTGAAGAATGCATTGTGAATCACTGCTTTTCAGTTGAAGGAAGAGTTTGTTGTATTGTAAATAGCATTAAGTATGTGGACACCAAAATTAACTAGAGGTTATTGTCATCTAAATATTTAGGCTCTACAATATACAGTGTTTGCTGTTAAACACTAAAAGAAATAGAATTCTAACATTTACATTAACAATTTTGAATACAGAAAAATGTATGCTCTGCTTTGCCTTGCATATAAGTAGTGTTCCTGGTGTATTAGTAGTATATCTCATTTGGAGAAATTAATACTTTGAGTCAATTTTCAATTATGATTATTTTTTATTACCTGTAATTAATGTATTAACATCAAACTCCTGGGTTAAGTGAAATCCTTGACGTATGGGAGCATTTCATGCTTCATAAAAAGCTGCAATTTAAACTTTACTTACCCCATGGCACTGTGCTTGTCACTAAACAATATTTTAATGCACTGAAAAATACAGGTTAAAGGTGGTATCATTTACAGTACCATTTTATATTTAGAATTTTTTTTACATGCAAGTTGAGATTCTAAGATGTTTCACTTTGATGTTACAGCAATATACTATATTGTAATTGAATGTGGGACTTGAAGTGGATTTTCTAAGATTAAATGGTCAGTTTTGACTAAGATGTAACTGGGAGGTAAGAAACCTTTTTGAAGTCTTTTTAGTGGAAGATAGAAGTAAGTGTAAGATGTGTATATAGGAGTGCTGTTACTTTATGAACTCTGAATAACGAGATATTTTAGCAAATGACACTTTAAACCTAGATTTGTACAGCATACAACAGTTTTGAATAGTGTGATAATACTGAGTACAGCTGCCAAATTTTCACATACTGTTAGATGACTGTATTTGTGCCCTTTTTATTCTTATAGTTTTAGGTTTTCATATACTGACCTTCCTTACACACACCTCCCCTTCTGTTTAAAGTACAGGGTAACAATCATGGAAAACTACCAGGATTAATACTGAATTTTAATGTTCTTCTAGTATAAGGAAATTATTCAGGTAACAGGGTATTCCATGGTTTCTGACAACCTTGTTTTGATAACATAACCAGCTGTGCCTGCTTTTTTTTTTTTTTTGGAGAACCCTGTAAAAACTGCATTTATAAGCCTCTCTAAACCAAATCTGAACTATAAAAATATTGATGAAAAGACTTGAAACTGAAGAAAAGAGGGGACATTTAAAGTATTATATGTGTTTTGAAAGAATGTCTTCATTTTTGTGGATATATTATTCTCTATGTGTGAATGGTCAGTGACTGCACTTTACACATTTAGATGAACTATGTTTCATGCCTCATACATATAAAAGTAATGGTTTAAAAGGGAGCTAAATTTGGTGGACTTTGGCTAATGAAAATCATTATTTAAATTCAACATTTGTTTTACCCTAAAATTGTTAAAAAATAATAGTGAAAATTCTTCTTTAAAGGATAAACATACAGGATGGCCTCCTCTTTTATCACTGGGTTTATATCACAATTCATTAAAAGCACATAAATGAACAGTATAAAACCAGAGATGATGAGTTAAGGTCAGCTCTGGTATAGTCATTTGCAGGTAGGGGTGTGAATATCATGATGTTGCCTATGCCGATGAAACCAGTGTGGAAAAAAAAATAATGGAGAAGAAAATCTTTTTAAGTTTGGTATTTTACATGGAATCTGAAGTGCCCCATCAGTTACAACGTCTTTAAAAATACAGGGTTCTGGGTTTTGTGGTTTTAATTAAAAGGGTACCATTTGTTCTGCTTAAATGTGAATACTAACTAGTTAATCTATGCAACTATGCAAAGCATAAATTATTTTTTTTAGTTCTCTTGATACACTGAATCATATCTAATTTTTTCATTGTTGCACTTTTGTCTGAGGACTGGTTCATACAGCTTTTTAATTTTCTAGTATTTGCTTTAAACACTGTTGCTAGTAGCAATCAGAATATAGTAATAATGTTGGCACAGAAATAAGTTAGCTCTATAAGTTTGCAACTGGAAAATATTTATTGTCGGGTCTGTCTTAAAAAAATAAAAAAGCTAAAAGATGCACTATTGTCTTTCCTCCACAGTTTTCAGTTGATTTAAATTTATTAAATTGTGCAACTGAGGATTTTTATAATAGGTTTGCCAGTTGGTATGTGGCGTTTAACTGTGACCTCAAAGAGTTCACTGAAATCTGGAATGAGAAATTTCAGTTACTTATGGCACAATATCTGCATATAATGTGTGGAAACAAATACCTATACTAACTTCAGATAGTAATAGTGCATCTTTAAATCTAGGCCAAAGGCCCATTACTGTAACAGAACACATGAGTAGTATGCAATATTATGGAATGTTAAATCTCCAAATACCATACAGAAACCAATAAAACCTATTTTACAAACGTTTATTGTATTTATTTAGTGGTTCAATAAGTGTGGCTTCTTAAACTAGAAAACACAAATGCCCTTTTGAATACAGCCTTGAGGCAAAAATGTATTCAAATGGCTGATTTGTGCACTGTAAAACTATGCACTTCTGCAGACAGAAAACTTTTTGGTTTTAAATAGGTTTTGTAAATACCTAACCAAACATACCTGACATTCTTAGGAAACTACCTCCTTTCTTTTGAAATTAATTACTGCTTTTAATATTATGCAAGACATCCTAACTAACTGTATAGGCAACAAGTACACTGAATATCTATTAAGAGACCCTCTGTTTTTGTGATACTGTAACTATCCTTGTTGGCTCCAGTGTGTGCAATACTGCAGTTGTGCATTTATTGATGAAACTAACTACTTGCTCTCAGCAACAGTTAATTTTGTTCCTACGAGGACATTTGGCATTTTCTACAAAATGAAAAAAGTCACTTTGTCTTCGACTCCGCTGCTAGTGCAGCCTCCTTCCGCCACTTGGCCTTCTTTGCCAAGTTCCAGCTTGTTAAGGACTCATGACGTGCAGCAGCCTGCAGAAGTAAAGCATCTACTAAGAGCAGTGTAGTAGGAGTAACAACCCACCCTGGGGAAAGCTACCCTATCTTGGGAACAGCCAGCAACTCCTTCCATGTCGGGGGTGACAGGAACATGGCTTAGCTGCAACTAGGGTAGGTGTAAACTGCTGCTGTTTGTTTAGGTTTGTCTATTTTTCACATAATTCGATCATTTTTTAAGTATACTACGGGATAACTAGCTAGTGCTGGTACTCACCTTTTTAGCTGAGGCAATCACTGCAAAACATGCAACAATTGAGAGTCCAATCATGATGTAACAAGCTTTAACACGAGCCTTGTTTCTTGCCCTGTCCAGCATTTCTGGCCTGCAATTAAAGTTGTATCATTACAAACCTGTGAAATAATCTCTTCAAAGCACTGCAGATGTAGCATCACAGTTGAAAAATCAAAATAGTATTAGCTTGCAAGACAAGCAGATTCAGCTTGCTGTGACTGGTTGCATACCACACAAGAACTTCATGTTTTCTGATCCTAATCCATTTCCAATAGCAAAGCAATATTTAATGGATTTAAGCTGATTTTTTTTTTTTTTAAGCTAAAAAAAATGCTCATTTAAATACTTGGGGTAAGTACACCAGAAATACCTTAAGTTGTGTTTAAACGAAGTGAAAACTGAGGGGTTTTATATATTTTGAACAGGTGGAGAAGTATATGTGGTGTCACCCAGATATGAGAGCAAGTTCCTTTTATTCAAAATTAACTTCAGAAATTAATTACTGTCATATCTAACCTGTTTAGGTGGTGTTCTGTATACTGTAGGCTAGGGATTTTATCTGCTTGAAGAGGTAATTAAAACAGTTTGTACTGCTATGAGTTAATTTTTAGCTAGCTCTAGAAAAGCAGCAGCTTTAAAGGGGGCAGCTGATGTCAGCCTTCTCACTATTATGGGAACACGCACCTCAAAAAGAACAATCTACATGATAATTTTTGCTGGCAGAAGTAATGAAAACTCCAGCCCTGTGTTTGGCAGCCACTGCTGCCCGAGAGGCACTGTACAGCCCAGCAAGCTGCATTGGTACAGCTCCCCCTTCCACCCTCCGTGCTGAGCCAGCTGCGTACCCCTAAGAACCAGCAACCCCAGCAACCTCTGCATCACTACAGTGGTCTCAAAACTTATAGTTAAGTCTTTCTCTGAGTCAGGCATTACACTCAGGTGTATAGTTTTTAAGATGCTCATTATAATGCTGGTTGTGCACTATTTTCCTTTCATAAATCACATGGGAATGCTTTATAAAGATACATATTCATGAGATATAGAATATAAATATACATAGGTGGGATTTTATACATACATGTATGTAAAAAGGACAGTTGCATAAAGAATTGATTTTATGTTGCAAGTAAAGATCTTATAATGATCTCATTCCCCAAAACACCTGTAGCTTTACTTTAAGGAGGGTGAGTGGTGGGATGAGGCAGAGCTGGAGTTTTTGGAGTGGAAGCTGTGGCCATGGCAGCCTGTACCAAGGCTGAGGGCTGCAGTGCATCTCTCTAAGGTTTAATGCAATGGCAGAGGGCAATTCTTAAGGCTGGCTATGCCACACTACCCCCATCCCTGCCAACGTGCACACAAGCGCATGTTGTGCATGACACGTTTCTTGCAGATGACTGACAGTTCTAAGTAACTGCTTTTCTTTTGTAAAATGGTAAACATCATCTTTAAAACGAACCGCACATCAGACTAGCACATAAAATCATTAATCCACTAATCCATTTGTACCCACAAAAGCAAAACCATAAATGTTATTAGCCTGGTTTATTAGCCTAATCATATTTCACAATGCACTAATTGATACTCTTCTGAACCAGATTTTCACCTTCTCCCTGCTTTCTGCCTCTGCTTTAAGGAAAACAGACCTGATTATGTTCTTACCTAATTGCACATTAGAGCCTTTACTACTCAATCCTTAATCAAGACTGGGTAAACCTCTACTGAAGTCAGTAACAGCTGTTTAAAAAAAAAAAAACCCACAACAACCTTGAATAAGCACTGCACATTTCACCCTTAGTACAAACTATCTTCAGCATCTAGCTTGTGTTCACAGGTAATAAATAATATCTTGGAATTATTTTTTTTTAATAGTTAAAGCAGTGACACAGTTCAGCTTCAATGTCTCACAACTAACTTCTTCTAGTGTATTCTTATGATCTTACCATTCTAAAAAGACTCTGCTCATCCAGAAAGCACGAAGTGGTGACACTCACTTGCCAGGCCAGCTACCACACAGAAATGTGTGATTTGTGTGCGTGTATGTGTATGGACTGGCAAATGCATGTGTCTTTGTTAACACCTCCCGATGACTTGAATAGCTTTTAGAGCTTCTGAGACCTGCCTGAACCTTTCTTTAGGAAGATGGTGGGACTATCACAGTGCAAGAGAGGTTGGACTGTTTAGAAAGCCACTGTCCAGCTCAGCAAACCACCAGTGAAACTGTCAGGAAGCAACAGGAACAGGCAGAGGATGTACCTGTTGCTTGACACAGCTCTGCATGCTGCTTACACTAACGGCACCACCCAAGACAGGAACATACTGTGATGATAAAAAGCAGTGTCCTGGAGAGAGACATCTAACACACCATCTAACATCTTAAGAAAAAGACAGCAACTGCCATTAGAGGGGTTTCATTTGTTCTGTGTCTGACCCCCTTGGGGGATGCTAACTTCCAGCAAGTCCGAGAACCACAGGATCAGCGTGGTTTGGGTGGGAAGGGACCTTCAAAGATCATCTAGTCCAGTGCGTCAACAAGAATTGGAGGCTAAGGCTATGTCAAGTACTTGGCTTTCCCAATGGGGGATGTTTCTCTCATAACCTCCTTCTCTATTTTTCTTCAAATTCTTTAATAAATCATAATTTGTTGGATGTAATCATTCAGTGACAGTCTGCTCCCTTAGAACTGTTTATGGGAGCTATAAACAGAAAATATTGTTTACCAATAACATCTTTCTCTGATTGCAAATTAGGAATAAGCAAAATAAACAAGCCAGTAAATAAATGTGACCGAGGCTCTCTGTTCAGATGGATCTAGTTCTTAATCCCAGGCTCTGGGGACCCCAGTAAGGAACATTTTTCCATCTTAACCTCTAACCAGGACAGGAAATTCTTTTGCCCTCTAATTTGTTTCCAAGTTTTCAGTGTTGAAAAACTGACTGGTTCAAACTCTGTGGAAAAGTTTTAGATCAGGATCACACCACCTCTTTCCCTTCAGCTCCACGTTCCCCTTGGACAAGGGCAGCGCACTTACGGGATCCTCGAAGGAATCTCTTCTTCTGTCTTGAAACGTCTAGTCCAGAGGAGGATTTTTTTGTCAAACTTCGAAGGTTTGTAACTTGCAACCACCTTGTGAGCCTGCTCAGCTTAAAGATCAGGAAAAAAACACTTCGTCAAACACTGCGCTGAGAGTGAGTGATGGGGGTAGTATCGGTGGAAGGGGAAAACCCCTGGAAGAGTAACTTGGGTTACACGCCCAGGTCTCCGCCACGCAGAGCTGTCCCCACGCCGCCTCCTGAATGCCCCCGCACGCAGGGAGCGTCTCTGCGGGTCCGGTTCGACACCCCCCGCCCCCTCCGCGGCGGGTGTGGGTGCCCCAGCCAGCACAACGCCCGTGCCCACCCGCGCTGCCGGCCCACCCGCGGGCCACCGTGC